CGGGGCGAGAGCCCCGTTCGTAAGTGCGGATCCGACATAAGTCGGATCCGCGTAAGTCGGGGACTGCCTGTACTGGAACTTAGCTTTATTCTGTATGGACAACAGCAGGTTTTTTTGGTCAGTTCAGAATGTGAGCTGTTGTGTTGTAACATATCACAGTTTTGTTTTTCTATATTTTGGGAGTTTTTTTTATTATTAAGCTTTTATACAGATCAGAGCCCAAGATGTGTTTGTGGAGTAACGTTCTTTTCTTTTCACATGGCTTTGTAGTCTGGCTATATCATCGCTGGATCCAGAGTTAGTGCCTTTCAATTATTATCATCCATGTGACTTTTCTACATGATACTTTGCAGCCACATACAATAAAAAAGTTCTGCAGCCGCAAACATCACACAGTGAAACAACAACTTTTCTTCAACAAAGTTTGAAGTTAGGCATCTGTAGAGATTGAGATCTATTTTAATACAGTGATTTTTTCTTGCGTCATCTGTGTAACTCGTTAGCTCACTGATATTATTTTTGGTACATAGTGTAACAGTTCAGATCAAAATCAGCTCCCCACAGGCAGTTCAGTGACTTGGAGGAGGAGGCACCTGGCTAAATGAAAATAAAAGTGATTGAAAACTTGTGGTTCAGGATCACAGGAAAGTTTGAGCAGAGTATGACAGTTTATGTACTTTTCCTCACTGGAAAAGCCAGTCCAGATGGGAAGCCATAAGAAAGAGCTTTGCTTCCAAGTCCTGTCTCCTGCGGCAGGGATGGGGGAAGAAAAGACTACTTGATATGGGAAAATGCACAAACTTTAAAAATGAAAATATTTACCAGGGATAACATTGTAATATAGCTTTGATGTTACTTAATGGAAAGCTTTCCTATTATTGTACTGCTGCTTAATGGTCTAGAAGTCAATGTGCCTATCAAATGATCAATGCCTGTTCTGTTTCTTTTCAACTCAGAAGGCAAATTATTTATTTTGACTTTTTACATTCCTTAAACCCAAAGTGTATAACAGTAAAAATGATTCCCTGGATTGGAGAAAGCTTTGAGATTCCCCCAAACTAAAGGTGTTGTATAAATCTAGAAGAATATTAGTGTCATAATATGCTGTTGTTTTTACACATTCTTTGTGTAATTTTATATTTGCAATAAGATAAATCATTTATTTCTCAGGTTAGTACCCTCTAGTGCTTGATGTTGAGTAGAGTATGGGAACAAATTCTGTCCGTACTGACACTTTGTGTTTAAAGTTTAGCTTGTGATAGATAGAGAATGTGATGTGCATCTGATATTCTGCATGTGTATATTCCTAATTAGTTGATGTACATTTAAAAATTCTTAGGTCGTATCTATCACTACAATTTTTAATCATCCTTTAACTTATTCACAGGGAAAAAGAAATGAAATAAACTTAGGCAACATACATTCATAATGAGCCTAAAAAAAACAAGTCAAATAAATCTCAAAAGTAGTCAGATACTGAATTTTTGCTTTTATCTAAAAGTGAAATTAGAGTGTCAATCAGAGAAGCTGCACATTGTTAGCTGTGGTTACAGTGTTCTGGTACAGGTCACATTAACCACAGTTAACAATGGTTGGCTTGTCTCACAGAACACCCTTTTCAAGCTCCTCAGAGATTCCAGAATGGTCTGCTTGGATACTACTATCAGATTTTTTTCAAACTGCAGTGCAGAACATTATGTACCACATCTTATTGTACAGTCAGTTGTTAGACAGTGTTCAGGAAAAGTAGTGAATGTTTTAGTTTGCCCCAAGAACTCCAGCAATAGCAGCAAGAAGACAGGAATTGTGTTGCATTGCTGGCCTCCTGCCCAGATCCTATTGACTGCACATACTACGGCTATTAGTGAACTGCTGCATAATTAGTGGAGCTTTGAAGAATCACAAAGCTCTGAATTCTCTCGGTATGCAAGTCATGCATGATGTTAGGTGCAGAATCACTGATGTAACAGCAAGATTCCTTGGAGGATGCTATATTTTAGTTAGATTGAAACACAAAAATTAGCAACCCCTAAAGACTTGAGATAGTTGCCAAGGTGTGTTTAAAATTAAATACCCCTTGATACATGCTGTATAGCTGCTAAATAGTTATGGTGTGTGTTGGTCAGATTTTATTATCTATCTAGAAAAATGAAAACCAGGGGGAGTGGAATGGATGGAATTGAACGCAGAGAAAAATAAAGTCTCTTTCTCTCTCTCTCTCTCTCTCTCAAGTTCTGAGCAGTTTTGAACTGTTTTGTTTGTTGCCAGGTGACAGTAAATAGAAGCCAAATTCTGCCCTCACTTTTTCCAGTGTAAATCCACATAACCTCAGAGTTAATTATTCTAGATTTACACAGCTATAACCAAGGATAGACTGTGTCTCATTTATGTGCAGGACAGAAGCTAAACCAAGATATCATATGAGCCTGCATGAAGATTCTTATGCTCTGTATAATACTGTTTTGGTGGTAGGAGTATACTATCCAGGATTATGTCAATGCATAGATAAGTGTGTTTTCAGGGAGTCCAGCCATTTATGATTCTTGCGTGCTCTCCATTGGGTGATCTTGTTCCAGAATTTAAGGGGTTTTCCTGACTATTTGATGTTATTTTTTAATTTATTTTATTTTATTTTTACAGAGTAACAAAGACAGGCAAAATACAAATGCATCAGTCAGAGATATCAGAGAGATAGCCGTGTTAGTCTGAATCTGCAAAAGCGGCGAGGAGTCCTGTGACACCTTATAGACTAACTGAAGTGTTGGAGCATAAGCTTTCGTGGGAAAAGACCCACTTTGTCAGATACATCCAACACTTCAGTTAGTCTATAAGGTGCCACAGGACTCCTCACCGCTGATCAGTCAGAGAAACATCCAGTAGTGCTGTCAAACAATAATCCATTGAGATATTTCTCTTTATTGTGGAATAAAGATAGAAAGTGAGAGAGATCTAGAGGCTGGTTAATCAATTGAGTGCACATGTCAGTAAACAACTATCTTTTTCCTTTTTCTGATGGTGTTAGTTCTTAACCGTGTATCACCTCTGGTGTGGTTTTAGGAGCTAGTGGTGAGTGTTTTCTAGGCAAATAGAAATGATGGTCTGATTGCCTATGGATCTCGGAGCTCAGGGACTTTCCTGGAGGGTTCATGCTGAAGTCTCAG